AAGGGGAAGAGACCGGAAATATGCATTTCTTTGAGCTGATCTCTCTAGCTCTCATCTGAAGATTATTATAAAGCCTTCTTTAGATGAGTCACCTTCATAAGGGAAGGTCTAGCTGTATTTAGAATAACAAATAGTTTCATTGGAATTACTGTGCAAGTAAGTTGGCCAGTCTAAATGGTCCAGAAGAGTTGCTGCATAAGATATTGTGAGTGTGAAGCATAGTTATTTTCTGTTTAATACAGAAAATTGAGATATATAACTGCTTTTGTATCATTTCATAAAATATTAACTAAGTTCTTACTGTGTTCGGTATACAGTTTATTAGGGGCTGTGTGGAAAACAAAGTTAAATATGCAATCCAGTGTAGATAACTATGCAATCCACAGGTAGATAACTTATCACAATATAGGGTTCAGTGATAGAAGCCGAGGTTAAAAGTCTGTGCTCTGTGGGTGAGCAGAGGAAGACGTGATTCAGTATTATCACAGCCCATGGCTTAAGATAGAAAACACTTCTAATAAGATTTCTGTTAATAGCAGAGGCCAAGTGATTCATTTAGTCAGTCATTCATAAATGCTTCGTTTATTTTATAAATCTTAGTTAATTTCTCTGTTTCCATATGTAGTTTAAGGAACTATTTAGAATAGGAGTTATTCCTAACATCCATGTGACAGTTGTATTTCCCACCCCTGCTTTTTATGAATTAAAATGAAATTGCTTAAAATTAGGGATTAAAATTATGGACTCTTTCACAAGATATATATCTGGAGTCTTCAAGGCTGCTATGCTTTGGGTTTAACATAGCTTAAAAGTCAAAATAGCTTTGAAAAGTGTATTGAGTCAGGTGGCTTTGCACCAGTTTATTAATACCTATGGGCATGCTTGATATGTAAGTAGAATTGGCCTTCTGAACTCTACTGTCATGAATCTATCATGGAACATACTCAGGGAACTTGGATCAACAGAAAACAACTAGACTTCCAGTGAAGATGGTGGCATAGGCAGACATGGCTTGCCTCTTCACATAACCACATCCAAATTACAACTGAAATATAGAACAACCAATACTCAGAATTGTCAGAAATCGAGTTGAATAGAAGTCTGACAACTACGGAATTTAAGAAACCACATCCATCCAGACTAGTAAGAGGAGAGCAGACGAGGAACAGGCTGGTCCCACATCCACATGTGATGGATGATAATTTGGGAGAGGTATCTTTGGAGCAAGGAGTCCCAGCCCCACAATACGTCCCCAGCTCAGGTTTCCAGTGCCAGGAAATTAAGTCCCCACAACTTCTGGCTGCAAAAACCAGTGGGAATTGAGTCAGTGGAAGAAACTTCTGGAGCCCCAAGCAGTTCCTCTTAAAGAACCTGCACATAGATTCACGTGCACATACTCACTTCCTCTGAGATCTGGCACCAGGTGGCAGCTTGGAAGGCACCAGTGGTCTACTGGGAGAAACTGAAGTGTTTGGTTCTGTATTTGAGACTCCATAAACCTGGCTAACGCTGTTTGACCCACCTTGGAGATCCCCAGAGTCTCTGTCCCCCCCATCTTATGGGCCCACCCAAGCTGCTTTTCTGTATGGATGACTGATCTTGGCTCATTCTTCATAACTTCCTAAATCTGATCAAACAAGCAACAGCTGACCTCAGTGAGCCCCAAGCCGTGCACTAGCAGCAGCCAGCCTACATTCATAGCTTGGCTTCGCCTGGAAATCTCCAAGCCCAGCACAAGTAGCAGCCATCTCAGATCACTTTATAGCTCACTCAGAGTGGCCCCGGGCAAAACACAGGTGGCAGCTGACCTTGGCCTGCACCACCTGGGAAACCCCAGGGCCAGCACACCCAGTGGACAGCTACAGACCATGTGAGAGCACCACCGCCCTGCCCCTGCATGGCTGATCCTCCGTGGAGGGCGGAGGTTGGAGGTTGGTGGTCATTGGTCATAGCCAGTCCTTGCAACTGACTGGTCTGGGTAAAACCCTTTCATTGACCTGCCAACAGCAACCAATGCTCAACTCCAAGGGGAGGCTGTACTTAGCCCACATAAAGGGTACACCTCAAGTACCCAGCTTGGGTGATAGGGAAGGCTGTGCTGCTGGACCTTACAGGACACCTACTGCATTAGGCCACACTACCAAGAAACAAAGTCAAAGCAGCTCTAACTAATACACAGAAAAAAAAAGAAAAAAAAACAGAGAGGCTGCCAAAATGGGGAGACAAAGAAATATGGCCCAAATGAAACAGCAGATCAAAACTCCAGAAAAAGAGCTAAGCGAAATGGAGATAAGCAATCTACCAGATTCAGAGTTCAAAACACTGTTTATAAAGATGCTCAAGGAACTCAGGACCTTCACAGGATAAAAAAGACTCAGTCAGAAATGAAGGATACCCTAATTGAAATAAAGAACAGTTTACAGGGAAACAACATTAGAGTGAATGTGAGACCAAGAATTAAATCAATGATATGGAACATAAGGAAACAAAAAACAACCATCAGAACAAGAAGAAGAAAAAAGACTCCAAAAAATGAGGATAGTGTAAGCAACCACTGAGACAACTTCAGGAGGTCCAACATTCACATCATAGGGGTGCCAGAAGAAGAGAAAGGACAAAAAATTGGAAATCTATTTGAAAAAATAATGAAAGAAAACTTACTTAATTTGGTGAATGGAATAGCCATGCAAGTCCAGGAAGCACAGAGAGTCCCAAACAAGATGGATGCAAAGAGATCCACTCCAAGACACATCATAATTAAAATGCCAAAGGTTAACGATGAAGAGAGAATTTTAAAAACAGCAAGACAAAAGAAGTTAATTACTTGCAGGAGAGTTCCCATAAGGCTGCCAACTGATTTCTCAGAAGAAACTTTGCGGGCTTGTAGGGATTGGCAAGAAATTTTCAAAGTCATGAAAAGCAGGGACCTATAGCCAAGATTGTTCTACCCAATGAAGATAACATTTAGAATCTAAGGACAGATAAAGAACTTCCCCCCCCTTTTTTTTTGTCCTTTCTTTTGTTTCCCTAGCCTGAGGAGATATCAGAAAAAGTATTATGAGCAATGTCTGAGGTTTTACTGCTTATGTTTTCTTCTAGGATTTTTATAGTTTTGGGTCTAACATTTAAATCTTTAATTTATTTTGAATTTTTTCTTGTGTGTGGCATAAGAACATGGCCTAGTTTCATTTTTCTGCATGTATCTGTCCAGTTTTCCCGACATCTGTTATTGAATAAACTATCTTTAGCCAATTGTATTTGCTTGCTTCCTCTGTCAAATATTAATTGATTATAATGGTGTGGTTTTATTTATGAACTCTCTATTCTGTTCCATTGATCTACGTCTGTTTATATGCCAGTACTGTGCTATTTTGATTACTATGGCCTTATAAAGAGAATACAAAAAAAGAAAATTATAGGCTAATATCCCTGATGAACATAGATGCTAAAATCTTGAACAAAATATTAGCAAACCAAATACAGCAAAGCATCAAAAAGATAATACACCACGATCAAGTGGGATTTCTTTTGGGAATACAAGGTTGGTACAACATTCACAAATCAATAAATATGGTACACCACATAAACAAAATGAAGGATAAAAACCACATGACCATATCAATAGATGCAGAAAAAGCATTTGATAAATCCAGCGCCCATTTATGATAAAAACTCTCAGCATGTGGGAAAAGAAGGAACATGCCTAAACATAATAAAGGTCCTAAGTGACAAACTCACTACCAGCATCATACTCGATGGGCAAAAGCTACAAGTGTTCCCCTTAGGATAAAGAATAAGACAGGGATGTCTGCTTTCACTTCTCTTGTTCAACATAGTACTGGAAGTCCTAGCCATAGCAATCAGACAAGAAGAAGAAATAAAAGGTATCCAAATTGGAAAGGAAGAAGGAAAACTGTCTTTATTTGCAGGTGACATGATACTGGGCACAGAGAGCCCCAAAGATTCCATCAAGAAACTATTAGAACTAATAAATTAATTTGATAAAGTGTCAGGATACAAAGTTAATAATCTGGAAATGAGTTGCATTTTATATTCCAGTAATGAACTATCAGAATGTGAAATTAAGAAAACAGTCCCATTCACAATTGCTTCAAAAAGAATAAAATACCTAGGTATAAATCTAACCAAGGATGTAAAAGACCTGTACTCAGAAAATTATAAGACACTGAAGAAAGAAATTGAAGAAGATACAAGTAAGTGGAAGCACATACTGCATTCATGGATAGGAAGAAATAACTTCATTATGTCCATACTACCCAAAGCAACCAATAGATTCAACATGATTCCTATTAAAATGCCAATGACATATTGATATTTCAGAGAGCTAGACCAAATAATTTAAAAATTTACATGGGACCACAAAAGGCCCCAGCTAGCAACAGCCACCTTAAGAAGAACAAAGTTGGAGGAATCACACTACCTGATATCATACTATACAATAAGGCATTTCTATCATTTTAATAATGATTATTTGCTTCCAATTGTGGATTCCATTATGGATTTCCACTCCTTTGTTATTGTGGGTGAGCATGATGCTTCATGGCAAAACGAAATCATAACTAATCATTCACAGAACAGAAATTTCTCTTTTATTTGGGCATTTTATTGAAAATTATATCTTTTAAATCAGAGTTTTGTCTTAATCCCATTTTATATTGTAGAATACAGAATTATGTGCATATCACATATATTAGTATTGGGTAGGGATGGTGATTGTAGAATTTTGCATGTGTTTGGTTCAGAATGCATCTATATAATTCTGACTTTTGTCCATTCTTTTTCATTGTAATTTGTGTGAGAGAGAAGAATCAACTTTCCTCATTTTGCAGTTTTTTGCTACAGTATAAAAATACCCCTTTTTCTCTTGACACACACACACATGAAAATCATTCTGACCAGCTTGGCAGTAGATACTATTTACAGTGTGGTGCTAATAAGACCAAATTTTACAATAATATATGTTGTTTTTTATATTGCAGGTACATGTTGGGACTTGCAGCAATTCCAGCAGTTATACAATTTTTTGGCTTTCTCTTTTTACCGGAAAGCCCTCGATGGCTTATTCAGAAAGGACAGACTCAGAAGGCCCGTAGAATATTGTCCCAGATGCGTGGTAATCAGACCATTGATGAGGAATATGATAGCATCAAAAATAATATTGAAGAAGAGGAAAAAGAGGTTGGTTCAGGTATGTGGATTATTTTAAAACTACACAGTGGTTTCGTTAGAAGTTATATTTTTAGTATTATTTAATATCTTTAAATTACATAGTGTCTTTTTATGTATAACCGAAAATGATATATTTTAATTTTTTTAAAGCAATACAGGAATATTGTAAAAGAATGAAGAAAAATACCACCATAAAGCCACTATCCTCACATAATTACTATTTTAGTTTTTGTATAGTCTCTTTCATTCTTTCTAAATTGGATATACTTGACATAGTTGTCATTATTTTGCATGTAGGGATATTTTTTGAGAACATGTTTATTATATAAATAAATTTGTCATATATAAAGATATATATGTATTAGCTTTCTATGCTAATTAAAAAGTTATTTGAACTGTCAAAATCTCTTAAGTAAATTTAAATATTTCCATGTGTTATCTTAATTTTCATACCAATTTTTATAAAGAATTAGAATACTTTCATACTCTAGTTTTGGATCCATTTTGTGTCTTCCTGTTTTTATTAGAATGTTTAGTTAGTTAACCATCTAATTTATGTCATGTCAGAAAAACCAAAAGAGGAAGTTTTTGGTTAATGTATATCAATGAATTTATTTTCAGAGAAGGAATCATATAGGGCTATTTACAGAATTCTCAGGCAGGATCTGTAGTCTTGACAGACTGAATTGGGTAACCGATTTACAGGATACAAATGATGGGAAAAGGTAGACATTTCTTAATATGTTTTTTCAACAACAGCCAGATTCCCATTTCCCAAAATTGTTTGCTTTTCCTTGACCTTCCTTTTGTCTTTACATTAATTGGTAGCTTAAGTAAAGACATACTTATATTTTTTTGAATTATTTTTTATACCTGAGAATATACCAAACACAAACACCTCTTTGTTGGTACATGTCATACGCATGTTTTGGAAGGTCTGTTCACTCACGTTTTTCTACGATTTTTGGTGGAGCTGAAGGTTGTGCTTTCCGGAAACAATAGAATGAACACTGCAGAAGCTGGCTGCTGTGTAAGCCACACATGGCTTGTCTTAAGTTTATGCAAAGTACCATACTTCCTTCTTGCTCAGACCAAAGCCCTGACTAATGGCAAGCCCTTTCTAGGTGTAGGTCATTTTTAACTGTTTTGGAGGACATACTATGTGCTTGGCATTCTCAGCATTTCCAGAATAGCACATTTGTGCAAATATTAAAGGGAATTTTGCTTTAACAAAATAAGATACTTTTGCACAACTCTACATTGTTAATTTTAAAAGTATGATTTTAAATGCCTATTTAAATTACAGGTAATTTATTTTATGCTCCTGTCTAAATTCCTTTCAGCAACAGTTTGAATGAAATGCGAGATTGTTTTCATAATAATTAGTGTACTTGAAACCCATGGCTAATAATGTGCGAGTAAAAAACTTTTCAGAGTATTAAGTTATCAAATACTACTTAGAACAAAAAGTTTTTATTAATTTACATAAAGGATGAGAAAACAATTTAATTTTTTAAGAAAGGCTTCTTGTTTAACAGTAGGAAAACCATTGATTTACTACAAAGCACTGAGCGTGTACCTTCATTTAGACTACTTAAAAACTTGCCTGCCTTGCCATGCACTGTTTGATTTCCATGACTATTTAAAATGTATAACCAAATGGATTTTTTAGAAACTTGAATTACATAGGATTGCAGTTACCTGTATCTGCTGTAGTTTTTATCAGAAATCTTTGGGAGCTAAATAGGACACTGTTTCTTGGGTGTAGGTAAAATACTTAGCTATTTACCTATATTCTAATAGTGCTATATATACATATTTGGCACAGGTTTTTAAAAGTACTGTTATCCACTGAATCCTAGTATTTGTCTCATGCTCAGGTAGGTGTTCTAAAGTTTGTAACTAATAAGATTAATAGTTTATCTGTTTGTGGATTTGTATTGCGTACTCTCATCTTGCTTAATTCAAAAACTAATCTCATGTTCCTTCTTAAAAGTATCAAATTAATGGCATTACGGCATGAATGCATGTGGATGAATTTGCTGGTGTTACATGGCACCAGTGATTTTGGGCCTTGCTTTTATGATTGAGAAATGTGGCCACAGTAAAATGTTCTGCACAAGTATGAATTTAATTTCAGCATTGTCATGTCCAGGAGCCAGACACTCTGTCAGGTTAGCTGGGAATAGAGACCGGTGCCTGGGTGTGTGCTGCCTGGCAGGGTCCTGGCCCTCGGTCATTTCACACTTGAAAATGGTAGGCTGGGTGGACAAATACACATAAAGAAATAGCTAACTTTGAAATAATAAAAATGCCCTGGCCCAGAGGAAACAGGTCAGTCATATTACGTCGGAGACAGTAATCTGGGGTGATTGGCCCGTGGATCCTGGCAAGCTGCATTTTGAGCCATAGCTTCAAGCCTGGGACCTGGGTCAGTGGAAGGCAGCCGCCGGAGGACAAATCTGACCTCGCTTCCACAGAATATTCAGATCTTCCAGGAGGTTCGAAAGAAGTGGATTAATAAGACCCCTGTTTCTTTTTGTGAGAAAAGTTTTATTGTTAGACATAATGGCTTACTTGCCCTGTTACCTGTGAGCTTCCAAATAGGTCTGATCCTAGATCAATAAATCACGTCCTTCTCTAGAAGTTTGCGGATGATTTGAGATTTGTCACTGTTACGGTACTTGTCACCGTTATGACCCTTTTCCTTTTGTAGGATTTTTTTCTTGGTTACTCGAGTTTAAATTTGATCTCTTTGAGGAAAATAGGCACAGCTATTTAAGTGTGTATTTGTTCAATTCATTTTTTTGGCTGTATAGATGGCAGTGTATATGGCGTTTACTTCTCTTAGTTTCAGAACACATTTTATGACTCTATCAGTGAACCTGGTGGCTGCCCTGGCCATGTCAGCAGCAGAGGTGAGCCTCCCAGGCCAGGCTGTGGGAAGAAGATTGGGTTGAAATAGGGTTTTCTCTCTTCTGTGCATGGCATAAAGGCCAGGCTCCTTAGCACGTGATTTCTCCACTGTATCTGGGGGGCGGGGTGGGGGGAGAGAAAGAAAAAGGCAGTGTATGGGTAAAGAAGCGAAGGATTGGGTTCCACATGTGTTTAACACTGTTTATACATCCTGTAGGACTCGTAAAGTAAAGCTAGAAGAAACAGCTTGTTTTGCAAAGCTCCCTGCAGTGGGAGACGGGGAAATGAAGCCTAGTCCTGTCTCCTCCCCAAACTTGTGATCCTAACAGGATTTGGGGGGAGTTTCTGAGCTTCAGATTCTTTCTAGGTTTGTAAGAAAAGAGAGCCAGATTATAACAGTGTCGCAGTCTCATTTTCATAGAGTTTTAAAAGTTTGTGAGAGATGCCTGTTTTGCTTTTTTTTTTTTTTTTAAGTTTCTAAATACTGTGTAGCAGTCTTCATTCATAAATATTTATTGAATGAGAGTAGAGATGGGGATGTGACAATAAGTAAGACAGACAAGGTTCTGGCCCATTCTCTTAGGAGGAGGCAAATAAATGATAGAAAAGAGTACGCAATTATCAGATAACTCAGATTGTGGTAATGTCTTTGAAAGAAACAAACAGGATGGCCACATTTATTGCGGGACTGAAGAGGGATTATTTTAGGTGAGATAGTTAGGAAAGGCCTCTCTGAGGCAGGGAAAGAATCAGCAACACAGAGAACTGAAGGGGGGAGAGTGTTCTAGGCAAAGGGAACAGCAGGTGCAAAATTCAGTGACTCATTAAGTGAACAAAATTGACTTTCTTGAAAGTTTTGATAATAGTTGTAAAGTGTACATGTACTGGATTTTTAAGACATTGCTGTAACACTTTTTATCTTTACTAATCCCAGGTTGCCAAGGCTAAGCTTTGAAATTTGTAGGGACACGATTAACCACTTTTAGAATCAAAAGCAAATGAGTACAAAGTCATATATATAATTTTCATCATTTTGTTGCTAATCTCTTATTTGTTTTTCTAGTTTATCTCATGTTGCATAGATGTGTAATAGAGTCATGAATTATATGTACAACAGAAGAAGAAACCTGAGAGAGGCCTAGGTTTTACTTTAGGCAGTGGTTTGCAGACATTTCCACTTAGCTTCAAAAGTGAATAGAGAGAGAGGCAGGCTTTTGAGGGCACAGGTACCACAGCAAAAGGCAGCTGCAGTAAGCTTGACATTTATTCGAATGTTTATTCTCTATCCTGGAAATGAGCACAAGTTTGTGTTCTGTTCTATAATATAACTGTTTCACTTGACTCTATAAATGCACCCCACCCTGCATATTTTCAGTGGTTTTTCAGTGGCTTTATGTGTTCCATCATTCTGTTATGCACACGCCATGAGACACACGTCCCTCAGTTTGATAGACCTGAAGTTACACTGTCTGGAGTTTCTCTTCTGGGCACATTCTCAACGCAAGGTATAAAAGTTGGGTCTGCCTGTATCACTAAAGAGAGATGGTCATCTGATAATTTACTGGGCATGTAGAAGGGCAGAGTCTGTCTCAGGAGCTTTAGTTCAAAACAGCTAGGAAGTCTGTCTCACAAAAAGAAAAATAAAATCAATTAACGACAGTGACAGGATTCTTCCAAAGACAGTCTTAGGGAAGATTCTATAAATGAAAGTTGTGTACTTACATGCTTTGTACAACCTGGTCTCATAACACTCTCTAATTGACTTCTTCAGTATCCTTTTCTTTTAACTGAGATAATAATGGACATTTAACATTATATTAGTTTTGGGTATACAGCATACTAATATATGTATATGTTATGAAATGATCACTGCAGTAAGTCTAGTTAACATCCATCACCAAATATTGTTAAATTTTTTTTCTTGACCTCTTCAATCCCTTATCCTAGACCAGAGAACAAGTATATTCCTAGAATGAGGTCCAAGGAAAGCAAAGGCTTTTCTGCCTTAGCAGAAGGAACTCCTTTGGCAGAGCTTAGGCAAAGGCTTAGAAAGTCACCCTCTCTTGCCAGTCCCTTCTCTGCTCTTCATTAGGGCACTGAAAA